TAAATACTATAATTCACAAACATTTTTGCTCGCAGACCAAATGAAAAATAAAAAATAGGTATAATTATTAATTTACAGATGACTTTACGAACACATGAATAGATACTTTGGTCGGTACGTGCACAAATTCTGCATTTCAGAATGAAGAAAATAATTTGAATATTTCACGCAACACGATATAAATTAACCGACTCGTAAACATTTATAGAACAATTCACTAGTGACAAAAACAGCCCTAGCATACCACATGGACATGAGCTGCGTTTACCACAATTGCCACGTTTGGCAGACATCATTAGCCACCACTCCCTGTCCACGGCCTTCATAGTTAATCTCTTATATAGAGAATTGATTAAAACGCCAGCTATCGGGCTATGAGATCTTTCTGGGATTATTCTAACATAGACGCTTTGTTAAGAAACCATACAAAATAATATAATTGATTATAAAATGTATTTGATTGTACACTATACATTCTATTACAGCCTACAAAAGCCCACCGTTGAACATAGGCCTCCCGTAGATTGCCTCTACACGTTTTCATATAAATGTATAATACCAATAACAAAACGATTTAACAATAAGCAGAATCAGACGTGAAGTATTCAAATGTAAACTGTGCCGACCAGATACAAGAGGAGACGCGACATCCCGCGCTATATCCTATAATTTTAACGAGTACAAAATTACAATATTTCTTTTGTTAATTTAAAATATATGATTATTTTTTCACTTTCATATTACTAAAGACTTTTTACAAATTATCAATCCGCAGACAATAAAATTATCTTTAAAAAGAACTAGATCAGACATAGAATAGAATCCTCGATATATATATAAACTATTGTAATAATAAAAATATAATAAATAAGTAAATAGTGTACGAATAAATAAAAAAATATTCGAATGATTATCGAGTATTTAAAATAACTTAAAAACCAAGAACTATCCTCCAAGGTGAGTGGTGATATAAGAGGGAATCGTTTGTCGAGCTATAAAGCTTTTAAGGGTCGAATATTTTCTTTAAAAAGGTTTTTCATTGAAGTAAGTGACTTGTGTAAACGACTCACATGCCTTATATAAATTAGGAGAGAACATTTCTCCCGCTTAGATGGCTCTACTTTTTGTATCATACCAGTGAAATAAAATAAGTATAACATAAATAACAGAACGATCAGTTCAACTGTGAATTATCTGCTAAGCGTTATTAATACGGTATTTAAAAACGGTGAAAGATCTCAGGGGTACCTCGTTTAAGAGCCGGGGCGGCATTAGAGGCAGTTGAACTAAGTAAATGGCGCAAATATGAGTCTGAGAGATGACTACATATATGTGCTATTTGCTGTAGAGATTCGGTCCGCGGAGTCAACGTGCGGCGTAGTTCCTAATACAGGGTCTAAGAATTTTAAATACTGATAATTAATTATTTCAGCAACCCTCATTTATTTACCACCTTGAAGGTTTCAATATCAATAACGCATTCATTCATATATTTTTTCACGTAAATATAACTTTACTTAACGACAGTATTATGGTGATATGTGATGAGTCAGGTCGACTAGGATTGCCGTATAGAGTGCACATTGTATTGCAAAATTATTTAAAAAATCTATTACAAAAATATTAATATCTCGAAATGAAACGAAAATAGGCGTAGCTGCATAACACGAAACGGCTTTGTAAACTCAGACATAGAAAAAGAAAGATGAAGCGTTGCTAACATTTCAAATGAAGCAAAAACTAAGTCAAAAGCATGCTCGATTTATTGTAAGATCACGCACTTACACATACACTTATAGGTATGTATCTTAAATAATTGAAACAAACAACAAGTTTTTAGTGCTTATGTGTGCGTCCAGCGTTGAACTTTTGCGGCCTGTTAAAGAAAGATGCGTACGTAAATGCGTGTACGTGTCAATAAGTTGAGCATGGTTTCGGCATCACATAAAATATAATTATCGCTCCATCTATCTGTCTTCGTCGGTTTGAGTTTTTAAATACAAAAACAGTTCTCAATTGAAAAATACACTTACCATATAACGGGTGCTACCTAAGCGTTAATCGAGAGAAAATTCTGCGTCAATCACGGTCAAGAATATAACTAGGTACATAGATACATCGAAAACCATATATCTTTATTAAAATATACGCTGTCATATTTTGTTGAATAATTTTAAAGCTAAACTTGGTTAGTTTGTCGGCGATATTAACAAATGAATACTACGTTTTAACACAACGCCTAAATAACTAGGTTAAAAAAAAAACTTGTAACACGTGCACGATATGAAAATCTATATTATACAAAAACATTTGACTAGCATTATATAATCGCCTATCTAAACTAAATCTGTCTCATTACAAAAAGAATTTTATCGATAGTCTCGAATAGACTATGATTTAAAAAGAGATCTAACTAAAGGAATTTCTTAGCCGCGGCGACATTGTCTTCACGAAATTTGATATTTGCTGTTAAACTCCATACTTTATTTACTTTTTAGTTCGCATATTTCCGCGGGACTTTCGTGAAACAGATTCTAGTTTAAACCTAAGAATACTTCTTGTTATATAACTACTTCTTGTTATAACGTCAAATGGTTTTCCCAGTTGAGTCGAAGTAAAATGAAAATTTAATACCTTTGAGCATGTTCGTTATTGTGTACAATATAATTGAAGTAATTGTCTTATATGTGATAGATAAGTTTGTTTCACACAACAGCATGCACAGGAAGAGAGTCGGAAAAGACACGTCTAACCGTGATCAACCAGCTCGACCTCAACCGTGCCTGTGAATATATTAATTAAAATTTACCTATTCGTGATGTGATCAATAAAAAAGTTTAAAATAAAAAATCTCATCGCATAACTTTATCAAGGACGTACCTTCATAATAAAGAATACTTCATAAGAACTTGTTATAGCTTATGCAAGCAATGTACTAACAATTTTAACAAGGCTAACACTGAAGTTAATTTTATCTTTAAACATCTAAAATTAGTCAAGATTAGCCGTGATTGGGTACTTACAAAAGTTCAAATTCTATTGCAATCAGCATTAAAAAGGAAATGACATAAAACTTCATTTATATATTTTAAAATAAACCTTTTATAGCAGTATCATAAAAACGAACACGCTTATTTAATTATATAAAACATTGGCAATGACTAGACGTGTGAAACGAGGAATAGAACAGATTACGGCGTCTCAGAAATCAAGGACAAAACATCAGTTCATTGGAATATATACGACGAGGTTTAATAAATATTTACCTATTTATCATTTCATGTGCGTTTAACCATTCACACTATGAGGAGTTTGTTCCTAAATTACGCGGGCTTTTTGAAAGGAAGGTTATAAAAAATGTGCTTTTAAAAGTGAAGAATAATGTTATGTGAGGAATATTAACATTCGAAGCAATTTACAACCACAAAATGTTAAAAGAGACACTTCTTCGCTTTTTAAAGCGACTTTTTTTTATTAAACCAAGTAATAGTGGTTCTTACAGGTGTTCACTTGGTAAAGTAGGCTTTTTGGAAACGTAGAGAACGACCGAGAATTTTATAGGAAGACTTAATGATGAAACACATTCGTTTTTAAAGTCACACTATTTCCAAACAACATACAAAAATAAACGAATATGGCGTTAATTTACCAATTATTAAATCTACGTCATTTCACCATAACTATTTAAAAACGCATTTCCTATCTTCGCTTTCAGCCCTAAATAATTATTAAAATTGTATCTAAATATGTACATACATAATAATTATTAACAATAACTTTGCACAAAACAGGCGCATTAGAAGAAAGATTAATGCACGTGGAATTTTCGAGATAATACCAAAGAAACTGAGGTTGAAGTAAAAAAAGTAACTTTTGTTATGTTATTTAAATTAACTGTGGTTAACTTTGACAAATAGTATTACAGCAAGGATCTACGCACGTGTTTAAATTTTTAATGATCCTAAAATCTTTGTTTATTTCCAACAACCTTCTAGTATTTTTAATGAGGCAAGACTAAGTGATAAAACAAAATACTGGCAATGAAGACATGAATGGAGGTTCTATTATCTACGCTTTTATTTTTTATTTAGAACTCAAACATTTATACACCGATTGATTCTACAGACATTTTGTATATATTAGTGTTTTGCGAGTATAGTGTCTAGTTTTGAGTGCAAACTATGTAAAAACTATACACTAAGCATTGCCTAACTTAACGGCAGTAGGTTTAGATATATGTATATATTCCGTCACATTTTTGCAAAAATACAGCATTACACACTTTCTCATGCCTTAACTAAAATTAGCAATAATTCAGTACATGGATAGCTTTTTAACATTTTAAAATACATGGCCGGTTTGTTTCAATAATTAATGTAACTTTTTTTCAATTATTTTTCATTAATTACAGACATTAAGTTTAAGCTTACTAAATTACAGTTATATATATACTTATCAAAACAGATACTCTTTTTGGGTTTGGCGAAGTTTTTGTTTCAATAAATAGCCAATTAATCGAAAAAAAAAATCCGCTTTAAACGTACGTTATTAAAATCCCGACTATAGTACGATATCCGTAAAACAAGATGCGATATCCAGTACACACTAGCCTTGGTAAATTTTATACACATCGCATTAAAAAATTGTATACAACGTCCAACATATTATTACAATTTTCATTTACAACTTTTGTAAATTATCTACGTACACATTGATAAAATCCTTTCAAAGATTGTAAACTATCTCGAGTTTGCAGTATTTTATAAACTTATTTACATTTACAGATTGTGTATAGACGTGATCTTTAGATATCAATTCGCAAAACGTTCCATCTGCCATTACTTGAAGTTATGTACTAATTCTAAAATACCTTGGTAGTATTTTGCGGTGGAGTTGCCTATTTCGTACTACAGTCCGGCTCGTGAGGGACCAAATTCACTTAAAGTCGGCGTGGAATTTTTTATGAGATTTTTTATGGGATGGAGGGGAGAGGTCATAGTTCACGCGAGCGATGCGTTAGCGGGCGGCGCGGTTGGCGGTTCTCGGCGTGAATCCCGCAGCGAGTTGTTCCTGCGCAGCTCGTCCCGTATGGAACTGTCCCGGGACTCTAGGCCGCGGCGAGGCGATGACGTTGCCTCTCGACACTCTGACGACGAACGTTTTGTATGCGTGCCTGTGTTAAAAATAAAAATGTTTTATTCTTCAGGCATCGTAGACCCATAGCATGTTAGTAATACAAATAAAACTTAAGAACTAACGTTAGTAAATAAAACATAGAAATAAAACAAGATAGAAATATACGAAAATTGGGGTGATTTACCAAGCTCCATTTAGTAAATGTAGCTTGACAAACCTACCCAATGTCGAGCCATCTAGCCATTCCGCAAAGACCCTCAAAGTAATATTCGAGCTTCCTTCACTCTGCGCATTAATGACCCCACTTATACACATGATCACAAAGTAGTCGTCAGCATGCGCATCGGCGAACGTGCCTGATGCACTACAATAAGGTGGAAGCCCAAACAATAACCTGAAGGCATTGTTATATTGGATTTGCAGGGTATTGCCTGCCCTATGGGTATGATTAGCTCAAAGGCTGCTGGTGTGAAATGATTGACAGTAAACCTTGAACAGTGTAATTATAACTGGTACAGAGCAAGCAGCAAACCTTCGAGCCACCATATTATCTCTCACAGCTAGCGCCCTGCGTTCCCTTAATCGATATATAGGTCATCCTTTGAATCTTCTGTAACAATGTGACCCAGGTATTTAAAATGAGTTACTCTCTGTAAAAGTGAACCGCTTTATTGGAGGGACATAATATGTTGGACTTTTATTTCTATCTCTGAAAACCAACAGTTCACTTTTCTTATAATCCTCACCAATGGAAAGCAATTTTCGTATTCCACAGATTGACGGGCTCAGCAACACCATGTCATCTGTGTTGCTCAAGATGTTTAGATTACTCCATCAATATGGTAACTAACATGTGTAATCAGCTTATTTATATAGATATTAAAAAGGTTCGGAGAGGTAAGACCTCCCTGCCTCACAAAACACTCAAATTTATAGGGGTCACACAATGCATTGGACCACCTTACAAAATTTATTTGCTTTTCATACCACATATATAACGTAGACACTAATGTAGTACGAACTCCCACCTCCTCACGCTGTTCTCACTTATTGTAGGAAACCAGGTCAAAAGCTTTTGAAAGGTCCACTAAACAAGCATCTACGGGTGTTTTCCTGTCAGTGTTGTAGCGGCGCTGTCGTCGCGCCACAATCGAAATACACCGAAGTCTAAATCACGCTATTAACATTCCGAATCATAGACAGTATATATAGAACTTCTCCGAAACTATCACTTGGAGTGTGAGCCGCTCCCCGGGCAGAACACCTTGCCCAGCGGGAGATCTCCCCTTTTCCTACTTCGGCCACAGTGGTGACCCCGACGTGATCTGAACACGCAACCAACAACCTTCGGAAACTACAAGCTTCATCATCGTCATTGAATACCCCAACCATTCGCTCCCAAGCAGATATCGTCTGCAGTCTTCATATCCTGCAAGCCATCTAGCTTCACAAGGTTCATCGCAGCACTGGAATAATAATGCTTCCTGTTCCTTCAAGCTACTCTCTGCACTATACAGTGTTCGGCACGGCTCTGAGCCTTACTGCTCGCCTCTGCTTCACGGCACTCTCGCAGATTACTTGCCTTCTTCTGGACTCACCGCATACTACAAGGCAATCTCCTGGCACTTGCACATTCGTCGGCAACGAGGCTGCACTATCGACCTCCGGTCTGAGCAGGGGGGTGATGTAGGGGCGCTGTCGTCGCGCCACAATCGAAATACACCGAAGTCTAAATCACGCTATCAACATTCCGAATCAGAAACAGTATATATAGAACATCTCCGAACTATCACATGGAGTGTTGGCCGCTCCCCGGGCAGAACACCTTGCCCGGCGGGAGATCTCCCCCTTTTCCTACCACGGCCACAGTGTATTATTTGACAGTGTGCTTCAAAGCAAAAATAGCGTTCTCAGTGGATAGTCCCGCGTGAAAATCAAACTGTGAGTCGTGTAATTGTATTTATTCACTGAGGCGAGACTCGAGCACACTGTCAAATACTTTTGCCATCACAGTCGCCAGTGAAGTAGGTCGGTAACTTCACTTGTCGGCTATGTTTCCCGTCCTGTTCTTAAGGTTGCCCTAGTCGATGGCACGAACTAAGTGGTGGGCGGGGTAAAAATGCAAGCTATCTCAGCCGACGTCACGTGCGAAAGGAATAGACGCCGTAATGAGCAGTAAGAAGCTAGTGCGCACACACATACGCACTCGAGTGACGCAATGCGAGACGGCGTCATCGCGTACCTACCTATGCGATTCATTTTTGAATAATAACATAAACTCAAACGGTGTATCGCAGTGGCTTAGCAATGAGGCTGCGCTGGGCACCGCGGGTTCGAATCCCGCACGGAACAAATATTTGTATGGCCTACAAATAGTTGTTCCGGGTCTGGATGTTTGTTCATGTGCAATTTATGTTTGTAAACTGCCTCCAACGATACTGGAGAAAATCCTACTGTGGGGGTAACGTATTTTAAAAAAAGAAAGGAGAGAGAAAACAAATTGGTGTTATTATCACTTAGGATCTGCTGTGTGAACCGTAATTATTATGAACCCAATTTATATACTTAGTTGTTATTATGAAAGTTCTTATGTGAACGTGTACCTGAAAGTAGATGTTGTTATTATATAATAATTCCATCGATTTGTTTTTACCTACTTTTTAACCGACTTCGAAAAAAGGAGGTGGTTCTCAATTCGTTGGTTTTTGTTTATGTATGTTCTGTCCCCCGATTTCTCGAAGATACCTGAAGCCTGAACCGATTTGGAAAATTATTTTTTTGTTTGAAAGGATATATTTTCCAGATAATTCCATGGTAATCGATGATGGTCAGATCAGGATCCGATGATGGGATCTTGGAGAAATTGGGGGCACTCTTCAATAAATGACAGCAAATCAACCGCGATTACTGCTATCGCCTATCTAAGCATTCTTTACACAATCACACAATATAATATCACACCTGTACCCACTAAAGGGACATAACTCTCAACTAAAAACGGTAACATAAAAAACTTTTTTTGAAAAAAAATATAACAATTTCTAAAACAAACACAAAAAAGTGTAGCATAATTATGTTTTCTTTATGTTTTTGTATTTTACTGTAGGTTATGCAAATATTACTGTAGGTACTATGTATTCTAAATAGGTATTTACTTTCCATAGCTAGTTAGCTATAATAGCCCACAGGCAACTCCCCGAAGTATAATGTCAGCCAGTGGCAGGATAACTGCTTTTTCGACAGCGCGATTTTGATGTGAGTGGGGCTTTTATATAGGTTAATTAAATAAATAAAAAATGTTAGTTTGTAAATTGTTTATTGATTGTTTGTGTTCAATAGCGGTTTGAAATATTTTTTTAGTACTTAGAAAATTATCAACACTATTAATGCCTATGCATTGTATCACTGAAGGGACAAGCACAAACGTCTATCAAAATAGTAACGTAGGTATATAAACGGAATATTAACAGCACAGACTTCCTTACAGAAGTCCAAAGAACACGTCTAGGCAAGGTAAGTAATTAGAAGAAAACTACAATTTAGAGATCGATTGTAAATCAAATTCACAGTACAGACACAATTAGCGAAATATGAATAAAATTTTGATTTATTTTATAATAGATAACGCTAGTTGAAAACTAAACACTGTATGGGAATGGCATCACTGAACGAGTCAGGTGGTCAGTCCAAACAAATAAAAGGCGCGATTGTAGAAAGAGATTCTTTACGAAACGTTGGTAGGCTAGGGGGCTTGGCCTGTTTATGCTATTCAAAACGAAGGCTATAAAATATGTACAACTTAGAAACTAAATCCTATGTGTACTTATCTGTATTCATAACCCAATATCTAAGGTAGGTTGATACGCTCCTTAGTTTTTATATAGTTCGTATTATTCTGTAATAAATTAAATCTAATCCAATATATACTATAATACCATAGCAAAGCTACTACTATTTTATTTAGTAGTAGCTTATATAGTAGTATAGTAAATTATATATAAAAGAATATGAGTATGTCTGAGGTAAGGTATAATAAACAAATATTTTGCCAAGTGCGAATCGGACTTCCGAGCTTCCAAGATTACAAGATTTAAATACCTATACATATTACTATCGATCAAAAAAGCCAAAAATACACGTTTCTTTTTCTAGTAGAAAATCCTTTAATTTAAAATTTATTTTTACCACTTGCTGTTATAGCGGCAACAGAAATACACGTTCTGTGAAAATTACAACCATCTACCTATTACGGATCATGAGATGCAGCCCGCTGACAGACAAACACACGGACAGCGGAGGCTCCGTAATAGGGCCCTGCTGGTTACCCTTCGGGTACGGAATCCTAAAAAGTACTAAGTTTGTCACTCACATCTGTATGATTCTTTCTTCAAAGGACCATATTAGCCTGGTTCTCGTATGAAATGACCAATACCTGGACTGACCTCTCCGAGTTTGTTTCGGCAAATCGGGTGCTTCTTCTCAGTTTCATGTTTTTGTTGTGTTAAAGTGTTTTAAAAAAAACAACTTACAAAACACATTTTATTTATCATTGACTGCCCTTCTTAGATTATTATGTACTTACATAAATTACATTAGGTAGGTATATTAGGATATGAGATTCCTATACGTAAGCACGATTATCGAAAATCTAAAAATTACCTATTCTAATTAAATTAATAGATAATTTTAAGATTTTCGATAATCGTGCTTATCTATGAGATGTTTTCGTTACATGATTAAAACTACTTTTACGGATTTTATCGCGTTTATTTTTACTTTTTATTTACTTTTATTTTTAATTCCCGACGTTTCGGGCGCTTTCCAGCACCCATGGTCACGGGGGACTGAGATGACTGACGTCCCGATGTCATTGTTAAACCCGGAGTACCTTCAGCTTTTTTAATTATTGTTTATGGTCCGATCTATGCAAAATGAACTGACTATGTCTTGAGGTCTTGCAGTGGTATGTTTGGGTTTAGTTTTAATTTTATTGATTATAGGATCCCAAGCAGGTGGTAGTACCCAGCCTCCTTCTCT